AAAATCGGACTCGATTCCTCGATTCTTTTTCAGTTTTGGAATCGAGGCCTCGAGTCTTTTTGCCGTCGATCTTGCCCTGGCCTAGTACTAATCCCCCCCCCACCACGAAGAGGTGGGTCTATTTGGGGGGACTTGAGCCATTCAAGTTATTGATTTTCTCTGAGTTTGAACTATAATTTGAGTCTGTCAGTTCATATTATGAATCATGGACACCCAGACTGGTTCTTGATAGTCGAAATTCTAGTTCAAGGCCCTTCTTAACTCTCAAAGCAGGATTTATTTTTTATATAATAATGAGAGGAAAATATTACCGGTATATAATAGACTGAAATATTTAAGTCAAACAAGACCCCAGTACGACATTGAACACTGACATGTTGTTGACTGGATACATGTTTGTACGCGTGTGTACTCCCTTTTTCGAGCTGGTGAGCTAGTAATTTTTTTTCCTGAAAATATTGCTGGACACCCTGAAAATTTTACTATTACTAGTTGGTCGGTGGTGGGGAATACACATTTTCCCCTGAAAATACACATTTTCATATTTCGCCATACTCATTTCGGTTGTTTTCTGTGGTTGGCATCTCTGGCTTTGCATTTTTTTTAAATTCTGGAATGATCTTCGTGGCACTATAACTGTTTTTTCTCTCCCCCCCCCTTGTTTTTTTCCAACAGGACATGCCCACTGCTGAGCAGGCAGAGCGAGCTTTCAACATTGGCCTGGCTGCTGTAGTGGGTGAGGGAGTGTACAATTTTGGAGAACTCTTGGCTCATGACATACTGGCTGCTCTTAATGGCACCGAGCGTGAGTGGTTGGTGCAGCTGCTGTATGCCTTCAACAGTGGAGACATTGATCGTTTCAATGCTTTGAAGGATAAATGGGCTCAACAGGTTGGTGCACCAAGTGAAGGAATAACTGGCTGGAAATTGTAAATGTTCTTGTGATTTAAAAAAAAGTTATTTTAGAGTACTGTAAAACTAAAGACCAGAGAATTTCTTTGTGTCAAATCAGGTTTAGTGTAAAGAAGAGTGCTAATGGAAAAAAATAATAAAAAATGTTTTATTCATTAATAACATATGCAGAGCTGCTAACCTTTTGAAAATGGAAAAAAGGGAAACCATATTTTTAACCTTAGATGGATGTGATAAGTGGAAGTGGTTATGACATTCGACAATCGAGTGTGTAAATTAGGGAACATTAGAGCATAGGCTTGATGATTGTATCTTCAAGGTTGGTGTTCCCGAATTTGTTTGTGATGACAAATTGAATAGTGGCAATGAGGAAATGCCATTTTCAACCCTCGGAAAGGTCTATGTTGGATGCCTATGCATCATGATGGCTTGTTGTTGATTAAATACTGGTACTGTGATTTAACATTTTGAAAAAAATCAACACTTAGTCCATGATGCAGTGATTCACTGATTGCCAGGTTTTCAGCATCACTACATCCCACGCTCTCACAGGCCTTCCAGCTCCGGCTCTCAGTACACCCTCTCTTTTATTTTCACTTGTTGCTCTGCCGTGAGCCTAACTATAAAGGTTTTATAAATAAATTTTGTCTTGCATGCTTTTTAAAATCCGTGATTGCTGAAACCAAACATGGTTTTGGTAGTTGATGTTCTTCTTGCCTCTCCTCAGGCCCAGATCAGGATTCCTTTTTGTATTTTTAGGGTAAAACTAGTTAAAATTAATTGTCCGTCATACTTAAGTCACAAAGGACTTATCAGAGTCCTATTCTAGTGTCGGGAAATATGTTTTAATATAGTTTCTATTGCTATGGGCTAGGGGTTTTGAAGTCAGTTTGGCAATCACCCTGCACTCAATTCCAGATTCAATACTGAATGATAGATGCCTTGAACGATAGTCCATAGAATGATTTTTAAAAAAACCTCGCCTCATTTAATTCACACTGTTCATCTTAACTTGTGCACACCCAAACACCCCCTTCCTTTCCCATGCACCCCCTTCCTTTTCCATGCACATATATAAACACATGCGAGAGCATGGCAACAGGAACACACAGACACACACACACACATGTGCATGCACAAACAAGTTTTCAAAATATAATTACCCAATATCACGGAAAGCAAGCGCGTTCGATGGGGCAACGATCATCCTTTTTTTTCCTCTTTGTCTTTGTACTACCTGATTTTGGGCCAAACTACCTGAAAATGACCCTGAATCTACCTGAAATGGGAACTTTGAGGTAGGCAGCCCTGCCTACCTGTCACTCTCAGCCTCCCGGTTGGGCCCTAGATCTAAATTCTACATCTAATTAATATGAATCACCCCGAACTCTTGCTACAAAGTGTTTATCAATATTTGATTCATCTGGTTTGTCATTTGCTTGTTCTTGTTAAATCCATCGTTATTTCCGTTTTCAAACTCAACTGTGTTGTTTTTCAACAAGTCGAGACACCTTCAAAGTGACGGAAACGTGATTGCTTTTCTATCGTCTCTAATACTTAAACTACGAAAACAAAAAATTTTGTTTCGGTATCAAACGGAAGAAAAAATATTTTGCAATAACTATGTAAAACAAAACCTCGGCCCCAGAGTCTCATTAAGGCTCGCCTTTGTTTCTAAAGACGCCTGGTCGAAGCGGGTGATTCCGGGCAAGTTAGGGTGTAATGTGTTGAGGTTCATTTTTTGCATTTTTTTGTTTTTGCATAGATTGTCTTCTTGCTGTTTTGGCCTATTTGATGTGTTACTCTTCCAGTGCTGGGGCAATGATGTGCAAATCTTTTTAGAATCATAGTGATAATGTTTTTTCTGGGACAGTGTTCCTCTCACCATTTTGGCTGGTAAATCAAATGCTCTGCTTTCAAGAAGAGCACTAAACCAGCAGAAGCTGAGACAGGATTGACGATTGTGCATATGCATAGCATGAACTTGTTGAGTTGTGATTTTTAGGCTTATGTTATAGTTATACCAAGAGAAGGGTTCAATGCTAATACATAAACTACTGAACGTAAAGGAAGGCTTGTTCGAATGGGGTAAAAATTCATATTTGAGCACTTGTAAAATGGTCACATGATACACAAATGTTTTCCGGGAAGCTGAGAAATTTTGGAATATTATTGGGTCTGTTGGGATAGTAAGAAAGTAATCATGTATTGCTGCCTTTGTTGGGGTTGCAGATGGTGGTTGGCGGGTGTTCTGCTGGTGAGGTTTGTTCCTTCTTCCCTATCAAACATCTATGTGGTCCTTATAATATCTCTCCCCCTTCTTTTGTTTGTATGTTACACCTTTAATCTTCTGCACTTATTTGACCAATTTATGTTGCAAGTGCTGTAAAACTCTAAAAACCAAACCCTCTAGGGTTAGGATGTGTGCAATATAACTATGCAGTTGTTTAATATAGTCATCATGTTTTATCTCACCTAGCCTGATCTGAAGGCTGCTGAGCTGGTGATGAGAAACAAGATCAATTTGCTGTGCCTGATGGAGGTGAGTTCAGGGATTCTATAGAGTTCAAGCTGTTTTGTTCCTCAGATTTTTTTTTTTACTTGTCTGAGTCCTGAGGGTCTTAAAGATTAAAAAAAAAAAAGTACCTGCACAACTTCTAAGCCTTGGGTTTTTTATCGTGGTATTTCAAACCATCACCCTGATTAGGGTACGTTTGTTGTCTTCTTTCCCTTATTTATGCTCATGACATTGTTTTACACTATAAAATGGCAAGAAAAAAAAAATAAATTTAATTGCATTTCATTTGCATTCCAAGGAAATTTTATTTATTTTTCCATAGCAAAAATTTTTAGGAGTATGTTATCATTCTCTCTCAGTTCCCCATAGTCATTATCACATGAACATGCTTTACTGTTGCGAGATCTAAGCTACATTGGAGATTGATTCTAAGCTCTTAATACGATTCCTGAATGAAAAATTGTTCAATCCATTTCCTCAGATTTTTTGTGTTTGTTGGCATAATATTGTGCCTTTTTTTTGTCTTTGGAGATAGCTATGGTAATGCATCAAGATGTTAATAATTTGGTCTTGAGAACAATTTTAGCAATCTGAAATTGAATTCAGCGTTTCTATTGGAGGGTTATAATTTATTCTTCTGGATTTATTACAGATGACATTCCAGCGTCCAGCCACTGACCGTCAACTGACATTTGAAAATATTGCAAAGACGGCCAAGATCAACAAAAATGATGTAAGATGACTTTTATGTCGTAAAGTAACCATTGTTTGAGGACCTTTCTTTGCTTTTTCATGGTACTGTTTTTAGTGAATGGAGCACAAGCTATATACATAATTCTGTGCAGAATGTGGGATTTCTGTTGTCATGCAATTTACATGGAGAATTTTTTTTTTTTAACTTGATGTTGTAATTCAATAATCTGTGATTTCTGCTTGACAAAGTCATTAAAAAAATGTAATTATAGGTGGAGAGATAAGGGAGCTGTTCTTTTATCCTTTATAGTGCCTTTTAGCTTTGGGGTTTGGAACCATGTCGATTTGTTTCTTTATTTGATATTACTGCAGCTGTTTTGTCTGCAATTGGCTTTTTAAAATGTTATTTATCTCCATGTTGCTTGTTGTCCTTAGGTTGAGCTCCTGGTCATGAAAGCACTCAGTTTAGATCTGGTACGAGGCTCCATCGATGAAATTGAGCAGAAATGTCATATGACTTGGGTTCAACCTCGAGTCCTAGATCGCAAGCAGGTTTGTGCACATTTGAATCAAGGATTAAGATACAGTTGAGCACGATATCTAGAACACGTTTGAGGTTTTGACACATCCATAATATAAATTGAACAAAAAATGAAAGATATTGAAGATTATCAAGGGAAGTAAAGGTTTTATCTTCTCTGCCATCTTGAAAAGTACCTGAGGTTCTCAAGGCTCCAATTTTTCCCATCAGGCTCCAATTGTTAGAGATGATTCTAAGAAAAACTCGTATTTTTGGTCATGAAGTGGTTTGCAGGTGTGCAAGCAGCACTCGCCCTCACATTACTAGATTCAAGTTCAAGAAAGTTCTCATGCCTTGTGCACTCTGCAGCTAATGTGGGATGATGCGTTGTGATACCAGCAGTGTGTGCATATCACACTGGGCAGGGGTGAGCCTAATGGGGTCGTGTAACTTGATACTCTCGAGGATGGTGGGCGGGTTTGTGTGCGCAGGGTGATTGAATTTGAGACAATTGTGTAGACAAGATTGATCAGGGTTTTCAAGATGAGCCGTTTGATACATCCGTTTGAGTGTTTGATAATACATTGCTGCCAATACACCAACAAATATAACGGTTCTGCTGCGGAATGGCATATTGTTCGAGCTATCTGTGAATTTGAGTCTTTGTTTTCAAGTTATCTGTGCTCAGTTGTATCTGTTTTTAGAAAAACACACACTCTCTCTCTCTCTGTGTCTCTCTCTCTCTCTGTGTCTCTCTCTCTTTCTTTTTCTCTCTCTTTCTCTTTCTCCCCCGTGGATGGTTGGAGGGCGCCACTAGTAGGTTCTACCTCTTATAATCCCTCTGGTTTTTATGTTTCACTCTTTTCCTGCCTTAAATGGGCATTATTGTGTTGATTTGTTTTTCTTTACTCAAACACCAATTCATTCCAAATTACCATACTGTTTTTTTATACATATATTTGTCTCTGTTGATTGCTAGCTGGATGTCCTGAGGAGGCTGAAAATGTGGTATTGTATGTTTCCCAAGGGTACAAAGTCTTGCTCTACAGAAACATGAATTGAAATCACAACTTTTTCATTGCCAGTTTGACACTCTGCCACATATTCAGCATATTCTTTCAAAAATTGATTCCTGTTACTGAAATTTGGGTATGTTGTTTGAATATAATTATTATAGTAATGTATTTCAGAACCAATATTTTTCTATTGAGACCTTTGAAGTTGGAATTGTTGTCTTTGAAATTGGAATTTTTGTCTTTATGGTATCAAACAGACCTGCCACTCATCCCGATTTAGTCGCGATATCCCGATTTTTTTCCCCAAATCTCAAAGCATCCCGACTTTCCTGATTTAAAACACGTGTATCCAGATTTTTTTGTTCCAGTCTGCTGTTTCGTCAGATTTTTCTAAAAACTTACACTGCCTTCTTCTCAATCGCGGGAAGCACCCATTGGACTTTTTGTCCGTAGGAACTCGGAGCATTATTTTACGAAATCTGGATGCTGGATGTGTTTGATCTTTGCCCGCACTCAGAATTCTCCTATGATAGCCTGATAACTGTTGCAATAGCGACATACAAATAATCAATAATATTAGTAGTTCTGCAGTTACTTTCAAAACCAGTCTTGTCCAAGGTCTAGTAACTGTGCGTTCACATCAAACACTCGGAGGAGCGACAGTTATTCTCTAATGCGGGGTGCCCAAAGCAGATCGAATCGGGTCGGTGGCAATCGCCCCTCTCTTCCCTTAAAAACGAACGCGTTTGTTTTTTGAGGCTACGAGTCGGGCGCGATTGGCTTGTGCCATGAGAGCTGCTTTGTGTCCTCAATCTGGCTAGCAAACCGACCTGACCCGACCCGATCCTCCAATGGGCCACTTTGTAATGCCCTGTATAACCCTTACATAACTAACTGGGCTGACTAGATTAACACACGGCCGTTGTCGTTGCTTTGGTCTGAACACAATTAAGGGATAAGAGATTTGTTGGTATGTTTTGGTCGGTTGGCCCTTGTGGTTAGCCAAGAACAACTGTCGCCCGTCCAAGTGTTTTGTGAGAACCTGTAGACACAAACACACACACACACAAACAAACAAAGACATTCGGAGGGCATATAGGCCTATATATTTATGGACACCCCTGGAAAATCTTTAAGTCAGCTTGGCTGTCACCTTGGTGATTTGCTGTTGATCCCGATTTTTTTTCACCAAATCCCTATTTTTCTCCCCCCTGAAATTCTGATTTTGAGATTTCATAGAGTGGCAGGTCTGTATTAAATCAAGTGTTTCCCATATTTAGACCCTTGAAATTGACAATTTTGTTTTTATATTATCAGATCATGTGCTTTTTCTCTCTCCCCTTACAGATTGCCAGCATGCAGGGCAGACTGAATCTACTCACGAACGACATCTCCCAGATGGAGACTTTGTTGGAGATTCATGCCCAAGACATCCTCACTTAAGCACCATTTACAGACACGCTCATGAAAGTCATCCACTTCCTCAATCATCTATTTTTTTTGCCCTTTTCAGTTTGATATTGAATGCACTCTGTGAACTCTTTGTCCATGCGTAAGGGGAAAGACTGTTTTTCGGCAAAAGGATTCATACTGAACTGTGGTTATAGCGCTTTGTCGAAAGGTTTCATCTTCATCATTTCACCACCAATTTCATTGTCATTAAATTGCGAAAATGTTTTGTTATTATGTGTTTTAAATCTAGAAAAATTGATGCAAGGGAAAAGAATTAACTCAGTTTTAGAGTTCCTCTCTTCTTAGATTTCACTGAAAACTCGGAAGAAATCTCTTTGTTTTCTACATCGTTCATTTTGCAGAGGACTCTGTACACAATGAATTTCGTGAAAACGTAATGTGTGGGATTTTTGTTCTGTGGACTTGTTTATCACCACAGTTCCATGTACACAGACAAACTCTGAGGCTTACGTATTTATAAGTTTGTGCAAAACTTTTGTTCTTGAAAATGCCTGCATAAATGATCCATACTTCATGGCAACTTTCAAGTTTGAATACAAGTTTCATTTTCCTCATCAGAAATAGTGTGCATTTTGTTATTGTGTTCATGTGTTTTTGTTGGATCTTTATGTGGACGCACAAACTCAAACAAACATATTATATATATACATATTCTTAATTCGAATAGTTATAAATATATATGAGGGCTGTCCTAAAAATTATGTAAACAATGATAACTCAAAATGGAATGCATTGATTTTTAATGTGTAAATGCTGCATAGCACGAGTACCTGGTGCAATACCTTCCCAAAACCGCAGGCATTATCCTTGACTGCACTAATGAATGGTGGAGGCAGAAAGATTGGCCTCCATCTTTAAAAAGTGGTTAAAGTCAGAGGTTAGAGGTGTTATGAGATTTTTGATTGAGAAAGGGAGAAATCAAACTGAAATTCATCTTGAATTTGTTTCTGTATGGTAGATGTAATGAGCGAAAAACAGGCTTATCAATGGTGTAGCATGATAAGAGAGGTTGTTCTAATCTTGTAGGTGATCCAGGCAGTGGGTACCCTCAGTCTTCTGTGACAGAGAAGTACATTGCAGGTGCTGTTGTTTCGATTTGTGAGAACAGGAGGCTGAAATTTTGTTATAATTTGGCTGATGATCTTGACGTCCTGAAGACTGTTGCTCATACTCATAGAATAGTGTATGATTATGAAGAGTTTGGATACCATAAAGTTTCAGCTTGCTTGGTGCAAAAACAGCTGTTGTGTTAGATGATCACGAGGTGCAATTTATGGAGGCCTGTCGGACTCGTTTGTAATAGTAAAAGGATGGCATTGATGGCCAAATGGGACCTGTCGGTGCAACCCACAACCCCAGAGATGCAGCAGGAGTCGACAGCCTGGAATCCCCTTCATTACTAGTGCTCTAAAAGCTCAAGGTTCAGCAAAGAAACTAGCGGCAACCTTTTTCTGGGACGTATAGTATTGGTATAGGGTGTATTGGTTTTAGACGTTCTGCCTCATTGAAGTGGGAGAACATAAAGTAATGGTAGCCGATTTAAGTCACATAATCACAATGCACCGTAAGTTTTACAGTGGGTGTCACATTCAACGAGAAGTCGGCTCCAACGAGGCTATCCTTAATCCCCGATTTTTTCATATATATGTCTCTTTGTAAATGTACGTCGGCTCCAACGAGGTTGCAAACAGACCGAAGTCGCTTTCAACAAGGTCGCGATAACCAAATAAAAGCAATTAGCGGCCCCAAAAGCAAAGAATTTTTCTCCTTTGACTCCATCTAACGCGAAGCACAAGGCCCATCCTCGATTCCTAACACATTGTATTGCTGGATCTAGTGTACCTCCTAATATTGGCCCAAAAGCCAAGAGGATGGGCGAGGGTTAGCCTATGGAGGGGATGGGCGGGAACGCGATACGGGCTGTGTGAAACTGGACAAACTCTGGATGGGTACGTCTAGATCGAGACCTTCATTAAAAAAAAAAATTCTTTTCTTCCCGCGGTCAGAAAATCCAAGCTCCCGGCTTTACTTTTTGTAGACATCTAATCTAGGCCTAGGCGTGAGAGGGTATGTTTCCACAAGAGAAGTGTTCTGGAAAAAAATATTTTTAAATGCAGAAATGACGGTCAGAACACAGCTCAAACACACGCACACTGATGCTGTTTGAGATTTTCGTCATCAAGGGGAACAACTGTTTTAATTACTGGTATTGGTACTTTACTTTTTACTTTTTCATCCTCTGTTGCCGTTAAGCGTCGAGGGGAGATGCAGTTTTCTATGGTGGTAGGCCAGCTAAGCAGCTCTTTCAGTTGTGATGTTATGTTTTCTTAGGGTTTCCTTGACACCCTCGATCCACCTTTTGTGTGGCCTTCTTCTTCCTTTATAGCCTGAGTTCTTGGTGTTGTAGGCTCTCGAGGCTGGCACACTGGTATTGGTATGTCGTGTGATATATTAACTTGTCTCCTTTCTTTTCTTTAGCCTTAGTCACGTTCAACGAGAGGTCGGATCCAACGAGGACAACTAGCCGGTCCCGGCAACCTCATTGAATGCGACACCCACTGTATTATAAAAATTATCAATAATATAGTACGATTTCTACTAGCGCAGAGAGACACGGCCTACTCTCTGCACCAATCGGGGGATTGGTGACAGCTTATTTTATAGGAAAGACATTTTGATTCCAACTCCTGTTTGGTGCAAAGGAGTGGGCCGTCACTGGATGTGTGATGTTATAGGGCTGGACCGGGCACTTTTTCAACTCTATTATCTCAACAAGGAAACGTAGACAAAATTTGATCAGATATTTTTAATCAATCACTCCGAGCAGAATTTAAATACTGAAGTAGGCCTATTTAGAAAACCCCCCAGTAATAAATAATTTTTAAAATCCACTAATTTCTAGTTAACTGTTTGAGGGCCTACGCGATATTGAGAAGTGTGCTCTCTATCTGTGTTGTGTATGTGTGTGTAATGACTGTTTCATTAGATGTTCAAGAAGCAGTTTGTTCTCATATTTTGTTACCATTTTAACTTGCCAAATCTAGATATAGCTCAGCGGGACAGCTTCTACCCTTGGAAAGGTCGACCCAGAGTGAACATGCCACCGATGTGCCGAAATATACTCGGTGGCCTCTCTGTGAGCATCCTAACACTAAACAAAGAGAGGCCTGTGTAAAAAAAGACCTGGTCGTTTAAGAAAGAGCATCATCTTGCAGCATGACAATGTGATATCGCTTACACTTACACTACCACCCCTTTTGTGTCATCACTTCCTGATCCATACCTTCATGTTCAAACAACCACATATACATGCACAAAGACAAATAGAATTTACAAACTTCAACCCAACTGCAGCGCCACACTGTCTGTCTGGTCTTACACCCAATGACTCAGCACCCACCCTCACAAACATTCAGGGAAATTTTTGTGCCTTACAACTTACACTAACGTACACTACAGGTAATGTGTGATGATGCATCTTGATACCAGCAGTGTCGAAGTACGAGAAAGGAAAAGAGGGTTTTGGTGGGGGATTGGTAAGTGTTTTACAGTGCTCGCAACTGCATTTAAAGGTCATACACCAAACATTTTTAGTTGGCAAGAAATTTTGGATTTTGTCCAGGTGGCGACCGAAGCCTACTCTTATAATCGATTTTCGACCACCAAGGAAGGGATCTTTAATGTGCGCAACTTGCACACGGGACCTCCGAGATTTTTTGTCATTGACCGAGAAGGCTAGGTGTAGATCTAGATCTTTCCTACCCTAAGATCAGGGGTGGTGTGGCTGAAAGACAGCAGTAAGGAGCCAAGGAGAAGCAGTAGAAAGGCTGCAGAAAGAGTTACGAGCCCTGAGGAGGGGGCAAAGGAGTTGAGGGCAGAAAGTGGAGACAAAAGCAGACGACAGAACATTGTTAGAGAGCAGGAAAGGATGTGAAAGGAGAACATTTTTTAGAAGATAACTTTCCGTCGCTATGTGGATTCGAACCCTGGACCTATTGACAATTTATTTTTTAAAAAGCAACATTGTTCTTACTTCAGATCACGATCATCATGACAATATGATTATGAGCAACACTGGTCAAAGCATGACCCACCCACCCCACTCGTGTAATCTCTTCCCGATCCACAGGGCCTACCTTTACGTTTCATCAACAGCCACACACACACACAAGAACACTTTTGCACACAATTCACACCTCACACGGACCAATGCAAGTGCTACATTGACCATCTTCAATCATCATACGTTACCACCCAGCACCCACCCTCACACATGACTAGACTGAAGGAAGGCCTAGTGCTTTATGTACACTACAGGTAATGTGCCATGACGCATCTTGGTACCAGTCAGCGGTGTGGGTGTATCATGTTCCTTGGGGGCGAGACTGGTGGGCTCGTGGAAATCTGACAGGCCTACAGTTGACGATTGTGTTTGTTTTGCTTTATGCCCACAGAATGATTTCAATATTTGCAATTTGAGACAATTGTGAGGAAAAATGTAACCCCTTTTTTTTTTAGACGAGCTGTTCGACAAGTTGACATATAGATCCGTATGGGTATTTTAGAAAACAGAGTTACCAATACAAAGAAATTTTTAGAGCTGTTCCATTAGAAATGGCTGTAATTTCTAATTTTGTGTGTTTACGTTTACTGTGCCCAACTGTAGTGCCAGTAGGCCCTACTTTATGTGGAAATTAGAAATCATGATTCCATTAACTTAACAGTTAGGTAAAGTTTCAAATATAAGACAATTGCAATTTTCAAAAAATTAAAACCATCACACATTTTCCAATGATATCACAGTTTTATTTTTAATCACAAAAATGGAGCATAATAAACACAATAAAAATAAAATAAAAGCCTGTTCGGTTATTCTTTGTCACCTTTCATTTGCAAGGTTTAAGGCTTAAGGTATCGTATTGTTAATAAGCCAGATGTACTTTTAAAAAGAGTGCACATTAATTTTTATTCAAGTTTAAACATTCATGATGGAGAACTGATAATAAATTTAAGAATAGACAAAAGTAAAAAAAAAAAAAGGAAAGCTACTAAATGTTGAGACTTGTGTTGCATAATATCAGCCTGCCAGTGACACACATTCTAATTTTATTTCAGTGTAACTTCTTACGAAACTGCTGAAAAGGAGCAATTAGTCCCCAAACGGAGGGTCTAAATGTGAAAGTCATAAGCGAGACAAGAAAAATGCAGAAACTCTTCCACCCCCCTCCCCCCAACAGAGTTGTTGGCTTATGTCGTAACCAAACGGTGCCATAGCTGCTGTCTGCTTTCAATTTTTTACTGGCATCAATGTCAAAACAGGCCATAGCAGAGTGCAGCAGAAGGTACATAGTGTAACATAGCACTGCTGAATAAAGAAAACATGCTGCGAAAACACTGTGGCAACTGAAACTTATTACAATGCAACGGAAGTCACTGTCAAGTCTTTTCACTGCAGTGTGTCCCCTTAAATTCTACAACTTCATTCTCCTAATCTGATTATATCTCCCCCCAATATTGTCTGTCAAAAACAAATTGTAAGCTTTATCCCCCCATCCACCCACAATAAGCTGGTAATAAATAATAATAATACATTATATCAGAAAATGGACGGATCATAAGGAGTGTGATATACACAGAATGTTGACTGTAGACTCTGTCACTCGTTCATAAACACAAATATCTCGTAGCCTAGAAAATTCTCAGATGTCAAGTGAATAGTAAGCCATATATCATCGCGTAGAGGACACAGCTTTTTAAAATTTAAAAATAACGGCTCCAAAGCCGCCTTGCATCTTATCCATGAGAAACAAAATTACCCCTACCCCCCCCCCAACAAATTATAAATGAATCTGTGCGACTTATTTGTACAACAAGGATGACGCAATTGAGATGAATGATGATAAGAAACCTTTTCATCAGTGACAATGCAGAGTTTTAACAATTTTAAGTTTTTCAAAACATTTTCATTTATAATTTTTACAAATTCATCAGTATTTTAACTCTTTTGCTTTGCCTTTCTATGAATAAAATGGGCAGCTTTAAGGTAAGGTACTTGCCATGAAAGAGCGGTATGTCTTATCCATTGAACATGATATCATTTATACCAAAATTTTGGCCCTCAAGTCTACCTGCACCTTATCCATGCATGTGTCCTACTTGTGATGCTATACGGTACCCTTAAACTATAGAAAAGAAAGTGAAATCCCCATTAACATTCTGCAACTACAGTATTTTCTTCAACATAGCAACCTGATGTATCAGGTTCAGCAAATTATGCTTGTGACAAACAGCGAACTTCAGTAATCCATTACGCTATAAATGAGATCTACATTACATGGTACCAGGAAATTATCCTAAATAATCAGAGCAAAATTTCTTGAACTATCTTAAAAATCACGTTCTGACACAAACTAATAGTAGTATCCTAATAAACAAATGAAAGTAAACCATAAGTGCTGATTTATCACAAGCTGTCCTTTCATCAGCAATGATATCGGATAAATTCACTTGAAATTATGGGAAATCTCAGTCTACTTTATACAAACACTCTGTTTTCCAATTATTCAAGCTTGTTGCAACAGTTTTACAGTGCTAAGAAGATAGAATGAATTTTGAAATCCTTTCATTGCTAGACGTATCTGCAAACATGCACAGGGTAGAGAGTACATTTTGTCCCCTACTCTGGTAGCAAGTCTTCCCCAAGTTCTTCATCTCCAAATTCATCCTCAAGTGGGTCTTTCCTTCTGGCAGCTGTTTTTGGACGTTCTGCTTGTGGGCCTAGTGGGTCTGAGTACGATGCATCTGGAAAGAAAAATCATTAGGTTTACGACGTGATTTACTTTGCAGTTGAATGCCCTACTGCACAGAGATTAGTTCACAAGGTCCATACACGGGACACATGTCTAAGAGAAAACATTCCAAGAATGACAGAAAAGTTTGAATTCTTCTGAAAAGGGTCGCATGTTTTACATACTTGACCTAGGGAATCAGTCAGCATAACCGCAAAAGGCACACAAGTGTTAAAACATCAAAATGATTCATACCTTTTACTCGAGAGTAAACATTGAAACTCAGAAAGAAAACAGGAAACAAAATCAATCTGTGTCAAACATGTTAAAATTCGACAAAAATGAAACAAACCTATTTCTTGGGGTTGGCTTGACTGATATGGTCCTTGAGTATCTCCGTCATTCAAATTTGGCCTTGCTCGTTGCCTGTGAGAGGCTCTCCCCCCAGCACTTCCATCACGGTCTAAATCTGAAATATCAGACAGAAAATGTAGGCATAGGAACCAGCTGTCCAGGACTTCTATGATTCCACTACTACTATCATCATTCAACAGAACAAATCAATTCAGTATAAGGACAAACTTCAAGTAAAACAAACTAAAAGGCTTTGAGCAACAAGGACTATTCATGAGCTAAATATCAGAATAAACAATTTTATGGGGTGTTGTACTCAACCATGTAAAAAATACCAGTGCACGAGTCATTTAGGCCTATGTTTTCCCCCCAAAAGCTAACAAAAGATTGTGAATGTTAATCTGATTCTCCTCTGTGAATATCTTGACCACAAGACCAATTAAAATGTATAAGAATCACGACGCGGTGATATCATGCGCTCATCAATTTTTGTGCATGTGGAATTATTGGTATCATCTTAAAATGTGTTCACTTATCTTATTTTTGATGAAAAATACCTGTCTATTTTGAGCAGAAGTGAAGATATGATTCACTTGGTTTCAGCGGTAAAATTTAAAAAAAAAAATGACCCCAAATTTTGGTAACTTTAATAGCTAGAGAGTCCTTGAAAACTGAAAAACTACATATTTTGAGCTTTCATCAACTTTTCCAATATAATTCACATGGAAATGTGTATTTATTTGGACATAAAAGGGTTGAAAAAACCCCCCAAATTTGATTAAAATAGCGAAACTGGCGGGAAAATGCATGTTTCTCCAATTTTGACATTTTGATGAGCGCCTGATTTCTCCACGAAGCCTCAAATATGAGATATTGTGTAGATGGTCGGTCAGTTCCAAATACAGTTTGCAAATGTATGAAACATCTGCTTCTTTCAAAGAGTGAAGTTTTGATACATAAATTTGTGGCACTTGCTTCACAAATAGGTCATATAGAGTTTTTAAAAATACAAACAAGGCTCTCAGTTGATTGAGAAAACGACACAGCACTCACCACTGCCAGCACTTCCCTCTCTCCGTCGGCCGCTGCCTCTGCGTCCTGCACTTGTCGCCCTCTGAGGGACACCAAGATCAAACATTAGTCTTGCATTTGCACAGCATGAGAATGGGTTACATTAATCCTGTCAGTACATCGTGTTTTACAATCATATCCATACAACGAGGGCATAGCAGTCTGTCAAAATGATTTTTTTGAGAAATACTGAAAGTTTCAAAGAGATCGTCGTACTAGAAGTATTCTAAAATGTGAAGAATACTACCCTGGGGGTACAAAATGACCCCAGCGTGTACAGATAGGGTTAAACTGGGAAGAGATTATTATGCACTATTATATAGCGACACGGCATAGTAGTACAGGGGAGATCACTTCACAGCCTCGAACAACCATATACCTGCCCTGGCATCTCACTGAATAGCTGTGCAGGTGATAATGGTTCAAATCCCCAATTGGGCATTCTTGAAAGTGAGTTGCTTGATAAGTTTATATATATGGCTTTCCACTCACTTCACTCAAACCTTAGAGTGATGAACATCAATTCTGAGGCTCTGATTCTTTAACAACTTTATTGTGATTGCAGTGGTTACAAATCCAAACCAAAGCGAAGAAGTTTGACATATCAGGTGCTTATAAGACACAATACAAGCCCTACATTACAAAAATTTCTAGTTTGACTGACTGATTAACAGAACAAAATCTACACATGCATTTTAATAGAGACCCTCCACCAAAAACAAAGTACTAGTAATCAACACAAACCCAAATTGTATTGAAGATAAAATAATTTACTAATTGTCACAGAGATTTAAAAACACAAAAACTTATAGTAATTGCAAAACTCATGAAACTAACAGGCTCCAATGCTGAATGTCCCTCAGCGACTTTTAATTTTAGTTTAAGTTCGAGTTTTAAGGCATTTGTAACACAAACAGGTCATATAAGGGCAGAAGATTAAAGGTATTACAAGAGAATAACATACAAAGAAAAGAAAGAGGAGAGAGGAGGAGAGATAAGGATGATAGATGTTTGACAGGAAAGAAGTAGCAAACCACACCAGAGCACCCTCCAACCACCCACAAGTCAAGTGAGCATTCCATCAGAGGGGATATATGATCAAAATAAGAACTACGTTACATCACAGTCAAACCCAGAGAGAAACCAACCAAACATGAGAACAGGGAAACAACTGCCACGACCCTGACCTGTTCTCTCAGCTCTTTGTTTTTCTCAGCCTTCTTGAGCTTTGTCGCGTACTCTTGAGCATCATTCAAGCCCAGATCTGTGCACAGTCGCACCAGGAACTTGAGGCCTGCCAGGAAGGGAAGAAGAGATCAAATTGTTTACCTCATTCAAAAGTCAATTCAAATTATGTTTGCTCTTAAACTCAAGAGATACATAAAAATTTATATATTTTTTATTTCCATGTGAATTATATTGGAAAAGTTGATGAAAGCTCAAAATATGTAGTTTTTCAGTTTTCAAGGACTCTCTAGCTATTAAAATTACCAAAATTTGGGGTCATTTTTTTATTTTATTTTTACCGCTGAAACCAAGTGAACTTACCTCTTTGAATCATAATATCTTTCATTTTTCTGTTCAGGGCAGGTCCCTGCACTGTGTGGTTTGCATATATATGAGCAATTGTTATTGTTTGATAGATGGTAAATACATAAAGATTCCTAGCGCAAATGTTTTTAAATCTAATTAAACTCACAATAACAAAAAGTAAAACCAAAGTTAAGTCCAAGAATGACAGCTGAGAAGAGGATTTTTAGACTTATTAGATATCTATATTCTGTGACCTTTGAAAAAGAGAGAGCAGGAGAAGGGTACACTCACAAACTGAAACAGCAGCGGTTTTTTTCTCTTGGGGCGGGGCGGTTTAACTGACATTGCTACAAAATGCGACTCCCTGAACGCATTACTCTATAAAGGTGTTAAATGAGAGGTGGAATTTTGTTTTTTTTGGGCTTAGAACATTTTAACAGCTTGTCAACCAGATGTCATGACTGCCTAAGCAACAGTTAATTCTGAGTTATAACCATTAAAGTTACCATTCAGTAAAATAAAAAGTAGACAGAACAAAATATTAAAAAATGCTCCTAAAGTCAACTTACACTCAACATTATCTGGGAATTTTCTGTGTATCTGCTTGTATGTCTCTAAGGCTCTCTGGTAGTTTCCACTTCTGCGATAACAGCTTGCGATCATCAGATGCCATTTGACTTGGTTTGGTCTGTAGACATGATAAGCAGAAAAAATATTTCCTCGCTGAAATGTAAGACCCTATGAGCTACAATGTTGAACATTTCAAAAACAGGGGGTCTCTGCAGTACTGTGCTGTGAAGCTGGTTGATATGTAGTTTTCACAGAAGATATTATATGCGAGCCTACCAATGAAAAAAAAAGAAAACAGACCACTTCCTGTCACCCTACCAGCTCAGTATTTCTCACGTGTATTATCTACTCATCAGATTTGCTAAAATCTTGTTTGTTTGTGCATGTGCATGTGTGGTGTGTGTTTGTATGTGTGACTGAGTGAGTGTTTGTGTGTATGTATATGCGTGTGTGTGTGTGTACGAGTGATGTGGAGAGGGAGAGAGAGAGAGAGAGGGGGAGAGAGAGAGAGAGAGAGAGAGATAGATAGATAGAGAGAGAGAGAGAGAGAGAGAGAGAGAGAGAGAGAGAGAGAGAGAGAGACAGACAGACAGACAGACAGACAGACAGACAGACAGACAGACAGACAGACAGGCAGCAATATAAATATTTTTGTATTACTACATTTTTGTGTCCCTAATCGGCATCTCATAAACAATTTCAGCATGTTAAAACTGCTCCAAAACAAAGTGAGTGTGTGTGTGAGTGTGTGTGTGTGTGTGTGTGTGTGTGTGTGTGCATGCATGTGTGAGTGCTTGTATATGCATGTGTGTATGTGTGTGTGAGTGTGTGCATATGCGTGGGGCAAAAAGACAGAAAGCCTTACACAAGGAAAAGGTGATACCTAAACAGTAGAAATGCACAAAACTCACTGGACTATAGAGGCTCTCTCAAAGTAGTGAATGGCCTTTTCACAGAACTGAGAGTCAATGTAGTAGGCTCCCAACCACTCAATCACTGGAATGTTTGAAGGGAAATGGCGATACGACTGTAGAAGAAAAACACATTTTTTTAGCATTAGGCATTCTATTTTTCCTTCCTCTTTCTACATTCTACCAATTGGAAAGGATTAGAAAAAAAAAAGAATGCAAGATTTTTAATGGCCAGCACAGCTGAAAATATACAAGACCATTCTTTTCATCTGGGAAAAAGGGGAGGGGGTGTGCCTTACAAGGGTTCAAGGGAACAATTCATTTCATTGTTACTAGCAAAGCAAGCATATGGTTGATAGCTCAGCAGGTACCAAACATTGGGTTCTATTTGCTTTACACAGCAGATTCCAGGTATTGAGGAGAGCACCTCTATTTCTGGAGTGCATCTGTTAGTAGGAATTGGTTGAATTCATGTGGCTTGGTATGCCCATCTTTGTGTAATTAGGTATGTGGACGTTCAATTTGCTCAACTCTTCATGACTTATAAAACCTCCCTTGTCCCCCAACTAATCTCTTTAGTGCATTGTAAACGTATCTCATATATATATATATGTCTTGATAATCTGCTGCCCAGTGCTGTGTAAATGAATCTCGTCCTGCATCTTATCGTTTTAGCTATGAGGTCATATCTATATATTATATATGGAGACCATTGGATGGGAAGCGTGAGTTCTATAACCAAAAACAAAGCAAAGTGTGTTGTTCTTCTTACAAACATGTTAGAGCTGACGCGTCAACATGGAACGCGTGTTAAGTCTGAGTACTTTATACTTGTTTAATTCGTTATGTCTTGTTTTACCTGAATCTTCACTGTGGATAAAACCATCTCTTCATTTCTCTTTCTATTGATAGGCTATATCATAGTTTGACTGGTAGCCCAAACTTAGGTGTGTTGTCTTTCTCACATACATTGTGTGAGACAGAACCAATGCGTAGTATCTGAGAGCTTGTTCAGTCTTCGTACCGGCACATTCAGTTTATATCTTTATTAGCTTGCTCTATGCAGATCTTGTCAATGGATAAATTCATCCCATCATCTATCTTTCTATTGGCAAAAGTTTAATTGATCAGCCTCTTACAATAACCAACAAACGTTGATTAAAGATTGTGACCTGTGACGTCTTGTGCACAGTAGAATTTTCCTTAGCATATACCTTTAGCAGTCAAGGGGTTAAAAATTCTCTGAGTGTGTGGGACACAGGTCACACACTTACAGCAAAGAATGCCCTTTTACTATATACAAAACATCTTAGGCAAATATGTTTTAAAAAAATAAATCCAGAAAAAATGACTAGTTCGTTTAACTTTACAAATATATTAGGCTGGATTTTGAAGTTACTGTAAATCATTTTCGGTGACCAGTTTCCAGTCCATTAGCTAGTTTTTATCCCCCGTCCTTTTGATTTTAATTTACTTTCATCTGTCCTGCCCAAGACGTTCATCCGTCTAAGACAACCATCTTTCGCCTCAACAATGGGTCTTGTATAATTTTGACTTTGATAACAAAATAAAAGAAGAAGGGCTTTCTAATATTTCTCTCGAATGATCTATAACACTAGACATCGTAGTACACACATACATGAACATACTATTTAATTAAAACAACAGCAAAAAACGAAGGGACTAACTCACATCAAAATAATATTGGAAGGCTTGAGACTTGTCTCCTTCATTGTCGTAGAGCTCTCCCATACGTGAAAGTACGCTGGGGTCTGAGCTCACAACACCAATCAGCTGCATGAACCTGAAATTGTGAACACATTTGTTCGTGGTAAAAGTAAGCATGTGAACATCAATCTCTGGCATATACATTTGTTCATTCGTTCGATGTAGAAAGAAGCACATGAACATCAATCTCCACGGGCTTTTTTTTTCATTCAGAGTAGACCGGGCACATTAAACCACTGGGGCTATTTGCAAGCATTTTTAAACTGCTGGGTTTACTTTATAGTCAATTATAGTTGAATTTGCGTACGCTGCGATCGTGGTCCCGATGCGAATTTTACCAGACCGCGAACGCTGCAGGAGTGGTGCTCAGTGAGTTAAACACAGAATAATTTCACAGAAAGAGCACTTGGTCCCAACAAGACAACAAACTGAGAGGTTATGTCGGCATATCATCAGTGTCCTTCCACAATCACCCAAATCATTTTCTAGGGATTTCCAATCAAAGCTCTAATTCTAAAAAAGACAGTAAGGGACATATTAGATAGTTTCCATATTTTCCATCCAGTTTAAAAAAATTGAAAAACCACAATTGCCCACAGCATGGTTCTGATAAGAGCACTTATTGGGGTTTTGAAGAACGATGCTGACGTTATTACCCATAAAACGCTATTTTCATCCGACAAAAGAGCAAACAAGTTTTGACCTCAGCATAAATTCGTAAACCAAGAGTGCAGAAGACAATGTGCATTAATCTTAAAAGTTTCACCATTTTGACGATGAACCAACAGTACTTAGTATGAAATGAGTGGAAAATGACACATGGTCTTCACAAACTTTTTAGCAAAAAGCAAAAGAACCTCTATTAGGACAAGAATTCTCCATGGCCACGACAATTTATAAAGCATACACTTATCTATTCCATATTTTGAGAGAACCTAATTTCACAGAAGATTTGAAGCATGCATTAACTAGTTGTGCTATTCGAATATCGTGCGCCAATGTTTTTTGTTTATATAGAAGTCCATCAGCAATATTTGCTATTTAGTAATCACTATTCCAAGCGTCATTCCCTGATCATACGACGACACGCATGCAGTGCAATACAAGGACGTCACATCACCATCCGCCTACTGTACAATTCCTGCAAAGCTATCAGCTGCACTTTGTCAACCATTATGAGCCCTTGAGCTATTCATGGTGTGAATAGTGAATATTGAAAAGTGATGAATACTTCTTAGAGGCACGTTTTATAACTCTTGCTTGCTCCACTTATCACTCTGTCAATTAATTATCAGGTACAAAGTATTCCTGTATTTATCTCAATGATGTTAAATATATAATATGTTGTAATTCTTTGACAGGTTGAGAGAAAGATGAAAATCCATTGTCGGTAAAGATCACATGGCATTCTGCAATGCTTCAAATACTTGTGAATAGCGGAAAAATTGTTAGTGTTGAATAGTGAAGTTGAATGAACACAGCTCTACTTTCCCCATATTATTAGGCTCTCTTGTCCAACAGTGTAAAAAAGAACTACTTTTATACCATCACATGTTTCTCCCACCCCACAAGTAAGTAAGTATCTCAATAACATATTTAATGCTACCATTTTTGTGCTCATGTTCAGGAATTATTTCTCTTGATCAACATTTGACACTCAAACCTAAAAATGGGGACACACATAAAGAACAAAAATAAAACAACAACAATAAAGGGGAAAAAAAACAAATGAAAAGAACATACCATTCAGTGGCTTGGGCTGAATCCTCCAACTTTTCATATCTTTTCAGGGAATCAAGGAAATCATCACTCAGTCTCGAAACACCAGTTTCCATATTCATATTGCTGAACATAAAAATAGCCTTTGCTTACCACTTATGAATAGTAATACTCTTCGAGAGAAGCCATAGTTTGAACTCGTTGATTTGAAACTCCTGTATTTTCATTTTGGTCAACCATCAAACAAAATGTACATAACTGGTTGTGAATATTAGCTTATGGCTTACTCCACAAAGTAATGGAAAGGATACGTATCAGCAATCTGATACATGACCTGTGGGCTGTTGCGGAGGATAGCGTGAAGCTTGTAGAAACAGTCTATGGAGTCCTCCAGGCGACCCAGACGCTTGTTGCAAAGACCTGTAGGAGCAGATGGTGGGTGGGGGGATGGATATGTTAGCTCAGCAATTGTTTATTTCTGTTGAGAAGCTTGGGGTGATCCAGGATCAAATCTTTATTTCTAATCTTAGATGTTTTATGCTTCAATTGATAGTTAAGATAATTATTGTACTCATGAAACCTATTTACACTAATAAACATGATGAGCCCTCTTTTCACTGGCTTCAACAAGACTGAAAGCTGTCCAGCGTAACAGAGTAATGTCTCCACTGGAACTGGTCTATCAAGTAGAAAGGTCTTGATCTAATCTTAGTAGTGATCAGCAGGGTATTAGTACCATTTGGAAATTTTAAGTTTTTTGTATCAAAGCCGCAACCCTATCCATTTTACAGGATAAACTGCACAAAACATTTTCCATTTTTCAGATCTATCGAAAACAAGGACTGATCAGCAGTGAAACATGCTATAGCATCAGTAAAAAATTTTGACAAGAACAAGCCAGTCTAAAACCTTTCAAAAGTTACTGAGCATATGTGTGTGTCTGAAGAAAGGGAAAGCTTTTTTTAGAGTTGGCAAACTGGGCATGGTGAGGTGTGTTATCTTTTCTGGGAAAGCTGCCCATCATGGACTTCGGAGCTGTGGTATAGAAGTGCTTGACTGACGGAGACTTCACATCTACACTTTGCCTTCATCTTTTTAGTCAAATTCTGAGCCAGTTTTCCCAAGTGGAAATTTTGACCACTCAAGTGATTCTTGCTGTTACTGAATAAACTTTTAAAGGAAAAACTGGCACATATTTTCTGACAGACGAATTGATTGAGTAACATCCATATCCAAAGATAAGCATACAGTTGAACCTGCCCTGACGGTCACCTCTATAAGACGGCCACCTGTACAAACGGCCACTTTCCATTCCACCCCTTGCGTTTTTTCTATATAATTTAACTGTGTAAAATGGGTACCTGTCCAACGCGGCCACCATAATTTAACACACAACCCCTATCATACAAAGCAATAATACCTGTCTAAGACGGTCACCTTAGTGACTCCATTACGTTTTGTCATAAATTGTGCATTGGCCCTGGCGTTGTGGGTGAGCCGTCATAATTCAATCACCTGTCGTTGTTAGGTAGTCCCTCCAACCGATCATGTTGTGTAGGCCCCTCCCACTGTTGACCAATAGCTACCAATTTTCAGCTGCTGGTGAGGTAAGCCTGCGATCCCTCATAACCCATAAGCCCCGCCCAGAACTCATACCTAAATCGTAAGTGAGATAAGTGGTCACTGTTTACCCAGTCTGTAACAAAGTAACAAAGGACATCAACATGAACTTGTTACGGAAGAGTCGCTCGTTCTCCGACCCATGTGTTTATTCTAACATGGCACTCGGTCCTCCATGTCTGATACATTTCGTTTTATTGTCACCCTTGTGCAAAATCAGCGCCAAAATAAAAATTACAAACGAAATACAAACCAACAACAACACCAACAAAGACAACATAATGGGCTACTTTCGATTGGGGCCTCAGAAGGGAATGGTTTGTTTTCTTTATCTTGATCAGTCCTGCCTAAGACGGCCACCTGTCTTATACGGCCACTTTTCTCCTTCACAATGGATGGCCGTCTTACACAGGTTTGACTGTATTTCCTTTTTCCTTTTTCAACAGTGCATTTTGTTGGTGTTGCAAGCACCGCACTTAAGTCTGTTTGGGTACTAGCTTTTGCTATGTTGTTCCTATCAGGAATCATGACAAGAAGGACAATTGTAAGCCTTTGGTAGAGCTATGGGAGAGTGTAAAATTCTCAAAATCTGGACTGAAGTGGATTGCTCGTGACAATGATGATTTACTTTACCCTTTTTTTCAACCATTACAATGGCATTATCTGAAAAAAATAAAATCAGTCGTCTGTAATATCACCAGGAGTGTACCACTGGCACTAAATTTAGAAAAAGAAAAAAGAAAAGGAATAAAAAGGGTTGTATTTGAACTTCTTCCATTCACAAATGGTATAGATTATGAGCAGCAAAAACATACCGGCAAAACTGACAAATCAAGTCACACACATATATCAGCCACAAGGTAAAGAAAAAGACTCCGGCTCCAGTACTTACCTAAGTTATAGAGAGCCTCTACGCAGGAGCTATCGTTGGTCAATGCCTCCTTGTAAAACTCTCGTGCCTTCTCAAAATCATTCTTCGCATACAGAACGTTGCCTTTGTTTACCAAAGCTGAAAAAGAAAAAGGAGAATATGACTGAAGTGTGCAAAGCTCGCCATATCCATTTGCCATTGAGGGAGTAAACCTCAAGCACTCATATTTGGAAGGTATTTTCTTATTTTTCTAAGTTCTTTTTTAACAATCCGTGGTAGAAAATGATATCTTCAAAGCAATTTCTCTCCTTTGGTCTCTTGTGAAAGTCTGGAGAAGTTTTCAAGAATTTTACAGAAAAGTGAACTGTTATCGATATACGCCACGACAAAACAAATAAATACAGCAATCGTTGCCCTTAAACAAAGGAGCTGAGCTGTCATTTGAAATATTTCCATCAAAACTTTGTGTATGGATGTATCAAATTAAGCTGTCAGTTTGTTTTCCCATAGACAATACTTCTGTTTTGATGTCTTCATTTCCTTTATCTGTAGAGACATGACACCTATAGAAATGGCGCCTAAGTCAATAATCACAGGGAAAAAAACAAAAACATGCGCAACATCAGTTCATGAACTTCCAGCTATCTTGTGCTAACTCTGTTTCTCTGGATTTAATGTATTTCACTTAGAAAAAACTGAATTCTGTTCACTGAAACTGCAATTGTACAAAATGAAACTGAAATTCCATGGAACACTAGCATTAATCGTAATAATTTTGAGCTTACAGGGAAGACTTTTTATCAGCCGTGACAGCTGAGAGAAAACTCCCAAAATTTGGAAATTGGTTTTAATACAAGATAGAAAGTAAGCACTCAACTTGCACTGAGGAGTGATTAACCTGAGATTAGCTACCACAGTGGCCAAGCTGGAGAAAACAAAAAACAATGAATCTTTACTTAAATGATCATACCTGAAGGGTTGTAGCGGTCGGCCGTCATTGCCACCTCCGCATACTTATCAGCTTGGGCATAGTCTGTTTCCTGCAGGTTAAAGGCATCTTCCATTCAGACAGAAGTAAATTTATTTACCGATCTAGAAAAAGTGACCGAACTGGTCTTACTCTTAAAATAATATCAGCCAGAAGCGTAGTGCTAAACTGGATCCAGGAATAGGGAAAAAGCTAGCCCTATACCACAAGGTGTTTAATTCAGGAGGGAGTTTATATCAAATTTATCACCCAATTTACATTAGAAACTTTATAGCTAGGGCTAAAAAACTGTATTTATCATAAAATGGAACCATACTTACGGGGGCTCTCTAGGCCTAGAGGCTAAGGTGTTCGCCTCTTATTCAAAGGTCCCGGGTTCGAATCTGGGTATCAACAGAACAATTTTGTTCTCTAAAATTGTCTTCTTTCACCTCTTTTCCTGCTCTCGAGCAATGTTCTGTCGTTTGCTTTCGTCTCCACTTTCTACCCCCACCGCCTCACCTCCTTTGCCCCCTCCTCCGGGCTCCTGACTCTTTCTACTGCTACCCCTTAGCTCTTTCTTACTGCTGTCTTTCAGCCATGCCCCAGATCTTCTGGTAGGAAAGATCTACACCTAGCCCTCTTGGACAAGGGCGAAAAATCTCGGAGGTCACGGGTGCAAGTTGCGCACGTTAAAGATCCCTTGGTGGTCTAAAATCGATAAGAGTAGGCTTCGGCCACCACCCAAGAATAATTTTTAAATTCCTACGAACTGAAAATGTTTGGTGTGTTCTGCGCGCTCATTTGACCGTGTGAAGTTGCAAGAGCTGTAAAACACTTACAACCCCCCCCCAAAACAACAACAAACAAACAAAAAAACAAACACCATTGGTATAGATTACAAAGTGAATTTGAAAGAAGATATGCTTTACTAGATTCTCACCAGGAAATAAAGGAAGGACAGATTAGTGGCTGCTGTGCTGGCAACCTTGGAGTCTTTCTTTTCAAATGACTTGAGAGTCTCAATAGCCTGAAAACAAACGGGGAAAAATAATGTTTCAGCCCAATACAAAGAAAATAAAGAACTATCAACAGTTCAAGCATCAATACTAAAAGTCTGAACAATTCTAATATGTGAGGCATCATGGTGAAATCAGGCGCTCGTCAAAATAATGAAATCGAAGAAAACGATGTTCTTCCGCTAGTAGCGCAATTTTTTGGGACTATTTTGTTTTGGGCCTAACACCTTATATGCCCATTTTAAAACACACGTCTGAGTGGATTTTACTGAAAAACATTGATCAAAGGCAGAAAAAAGATAAATCTGTGGTTTCCAAGGACACTAGAGCTTTGGAAGTCACCAAATTTTGATGGCCATTTTCTCATTAATTTTACCTCAATACCAGGAGAATAGGCTGTAAGATTATGCCAATAACTCCATATATACTTTAAAAAATGATGAGCATCTGAATGCACTGAGTTGAGAAACATATGATACTGCAAATAATCATAAAAATAGGAAAATTCAAATTGAAACAATTTCAATCAAGCTGGCTGCGGGCTGTTACTTAATGGCTTATCAGGGCCAAAGTGAACTGAGAGGGAAATGGCATGGCAGCAAAAAGACTAGACTATTTTATAAAACTGACTTTCTCATGCAGGAATCAAACCCTAGCCTTTTGCGCATGAGGCTATTACACCACAGGAGCCTGTCCGAAGATACTTAACTAAAGAGCTGCATTATGAGATAAAGTAACTACACTCATTTGTTTACTTTATATGTTGATACAATACGTATGGGCATTCTATAATCTTGGTGAGACCAAAGTTTTAACACTTTCACAGTATAAGAATCTAGTACCTAGACACTTTCAATGAACCTAACTCTCAAACACTGAATTGGTTATTTTATAAACTGGGATGTAACATTAGGCTTCCTATTTCCAACATTATAATATAAATGAGGCATGCTTTGTTTCTGTACTGGCTATAGTTTACTTCTATAAAATGTTAGCTGTTTCCCGTGACCTTCTATCTGAAGGTTGTACAGGCCTCTGAAGTGAAAGAGTTAAGCAAAAGTAGATTTAGTAATCAATTTACTGTATTTTAAAGGTTCTATAAAAAGGCAACAGAAGTGTACCTGTGCAAAGTTCTTCTGCTTGAGGAACATAATGGCTTTGTCGATTTCCAAATCATGGGCCAAGTCGATGTACTGGGAGTTCTTCACCATCTCTATGCACCTGGGCAACCATGCAAAGACACATTGAAAATACATGAAAGGAGAGCTTTCATTCCGTTACGATTTCTCACGTTTACATTGTACTGTAACAGAACAATATTCCAGAAGTACCCATAGTTGGAATATGTTTGAAAAGAATAATGAATGATCTTAAGTAAAAATATACAGGAGGGAAGTGGATAGCTATAGCTAATTTAAAGCAAAAGTCAATGGCCACATATAAGTCCTCTTTGAGACTGAACTTTTCCTTTCTCTTGAAGAGGTACGTTGCAGGACATAATACAATAATGAAAATGTAATAAAATAACTTGGCTTTTTCTTTATCACTTTAACATTTTACTCTACACACAAACACATACAGAGAGGGCCCACTTCCGCAAACATTTGACTATAATATAACTGACGACTTACCAGTCATAGCCATCTGAGAAGGATGTTTCAATGGCAGGGGAGATTATCTTCGCTGCATACTTAATGCACCTCTCTGCCTCATATTTTCTGTAAAAGTATAATTGTATAATGTGTAATCAACAACAACAAACCCTTCCTAACTATACCTTATAACAAAAAACCCAAACACATAATATTAATATCAAACAGAATGCAAAGAATGAGAAAGTGTTCACTCTCTACGTAATGATTCTCTGAGATAAAAACACAATGAAGATTTGTCAAATTGGCAATTTTATTGGTGCAAAGTAAGCTTTGTAGGTGAGTTGTATTGGAAATCGTTAACAAGACAATTCACCGCCTAAAGAGAGGGTTCTATGCAAACTACCTGCAATAACATAGACATAGCCACAGACTTTAATGAAAACATTTTGTTTAATTTTTAAAATAGACATACTGTGATTACAACATTTGCTCCTACTCAGTATAAAAAATACATTCTGTAGTAATGATCAAGGAACAATATTCTAGAATATCTGAAAAGTTGTCTTTTTAGTTAGTTCAGTAAAGAGTTTTACGGCACTTGCAACACAATAAGGTCATATAAGTGCCGAAGATTAGAGGTGTTACAAGAGAGTAACAACAAACGTAAAAAAGAAGGAGGAGAGATAAGGACGATAGATGTTTAATTATGTTCAACAATTTTGATAAGCTTTTGTAACTTCCCACACCCAAATTGATTTTAATCCTTTTCTTTTCTTTTTCTTAAAAAATAAATTTAAAAAAATCGTTTTTTTTACTGATTTAATTAATTAAAAAAAATAATTAATAAATTAATCTTTTATTTATTAATTTTTTTATTTTTTTTTTGGGGGGGTCACTACATTTTACTATCACAGCTCATTGATAAGCGTATCAACTTGGTAACTAACCTCTCCCTCTCGATTTGCCTCAGAGAGTCATTCTTGATCACTTCCAGAACCAGATTGTACTGCTTGTCATCCTGAGGACAAAACAAAATTAACAAATAAAACCTCTGCTGCAGAGACTTGTAAACTAAAAAGAAAATTGTACTCCAGACCACACGTTTACAGGTTCAAGGCCCCTATAAACACAGTAGAGTGGAAACTAAAACAGTCACTCCTTGTCAAAGAGAAAAGTGGTCGCACTAGACAGGTGGCCATCTTATAAAGTGTCATCAAAATGTAAAAACAAGTGCAAGGGAAGAAATGGGAAGTGGTCATTTGTACACACGATTGTCTTATACAGGTAGCAGTAAGAGCAGGTTCTATTTTATTTAATTAAGAGATGCTATTGTTTTGTTAACAGATCCAATGGGATGTTGTTGTCCTATTTAACCCAAAGAACCCTTGGCTTCCAGGCCTAAAAAATCCTCCCCCCTCGGCTCCCGCTCCCAAGCAAAATTCAAGAAGAATAGGCATGCTATTAGCATTGTGTTAGTACCCATGCAAAAACACAAATAAAGTAATAAGATTGTTCCCACCCTCTTATCTCCAATACTGCAGCTTGGTGTGTCAATCTATTTGCCTGTCTACTTCTGAGTAGCAGCGAGGTCTGAACATGTTACTTCAAACCCCGAAATATTCGGGTCTAGGGGCATGGACCTGGTACATCGGGGTCTCGGGTGCATTGGGTTAATGCCTCCAAACCATCTGGATTTAAGGTCTATCTCTACTAGAGAGAACTTCCCATTTCTGCAAACTCTCATGCTACTTTCCATGAACTTTCAGATGCCAACTATGTTTTTTATAGCCTTCATAACTAACAAAGTTGCAACAGAATGCAGTAATGGGGATAGGTGAAGATTTCCACTCACTCCATGAGCCAGGTACTTGTCCTCGTCATCTATCTTCAAGTCAACAGTCAGTAGCTTGGCAAAGCCATCTCTCATCTTCTCTCGGTCACCCAGGGCAAAGTAGCAGAGGATAAGGTTGAAGCCAGTCTTAAAGTTGGGAGACTCCGACATGATGTGCTCGAAGGAGGTGATAGCGTCGTTATATTGGCCAATCTTCACAAAAGTGATGCCAATGTTCTGCATGATCTTTGTCCTTTGGGAAAAAAAAAGAAAATGAAAAAGACGATCACAGGTCTAATCTGAGATCAACTATACATTCGGTGAAGCTAATTTATCATACATTTTTTAGCCAACCATCTTCTGTTAGTAACTTCTCTTGAGAACATCCAGCTGTCACTGTTACTTCCTTTGATTTTCTTTACTTGAATCATGAATGTGTTGAACATATCGTTGCGTCAGAACTATCTTGTTCAAAGTGCCATTTTTATTTAAGTACACTTTGGACAAAGTAGTTCTGAAGCGACGACATGTCAACCACTGGAATTTTCGAGACCCATGCTCAACTACAACTGGTTTAGCATCTCACTCCCCCCCCCCTCAAATAGAAAAGTTCTATTAAAGCTGATAATGTTTTCCCCTATGCCCCTCAAACAGCATGGCTGCATGTAGCTTTCATCTGTCTCTTGTTATGCCTCATGACCTTCTTTTCTTTTATTAATTTGGTGAGCTCAGACACACAAAGCCTGAAATTCCTACTGATTACACCACCTGCTGCCAAATGATCAAGTCAAACCTCAAGGAAGACTGGACGAATGATTGGGCCACAGGTATGACAGGAAGGATGATGTATGGCCACATGAATAAACCACTGGTCAAAGATCCAATCAATGAGTTGAAAAGGGGAGATCAATCCATAATCTTCCAACTTAGAACACAACAGGTACCCCTCAACCAACATCTCAACCGAATTGGAGTAAAGCAGTCTGCTGCCTGCCCACTATGTGACTACTCCTCAGAGACAGCGGAACATCATCTGTTCTTCTGTAGAAAACTAACTGATTCAAGGGGATGTTTTCTTTTCAAGCTAACCCACATATCTAATAGCCTCTACTCCTCAAGACAACAATTAGAACAGACATGCAGCTATTACCGAATGGCATCATGCAGAAGAGTTAACACTCAGATGCTACCGGTACTGGATCGCTAACAACAACAACAACAGACACACAAACTAGTCTTCAACAGCATTCAAAGTAACTGACCTCATTTCCTTGTGGGTGTTCGGCACCTGGTCCAGAGCCATGCGATAGAATTTAATGGCCTTCTCAAAATTCCTCTGCTTGAAGTAGATATTTCCCATATTAACCTTCAGTCGACCTGTCAACAAAGAAAAAATTCCCAGCCCAGTCACAAAATGCAAAGGAATTTATTAATAAAAATATATGTCACATGAATAATATGTACATGCAAAGATGTCGACTTGGCGTAAGTTCACTGCCAGCTGACTCGATAACAGCTACATTTCATCAAGAAGAAACATTCCACAGCAGAGACATTGAAAAGGAATCAGGGGGAGCAGACTTCTTCACATCCACCAACCACCAGCAAGTGAACACATAACAATGAATAGAAAGGCATTGATCTTATCTAAGGTGTTTGAACTAAGTAATTGCCTACCAAAAATCATTCACCAAAAACAAGACACACTGAGAGCTATTATTAAATCCTTCCACTCTAAAAAAAATTACTATCAAGAAATCAGGACTTGACGTAAATTTTGATATAATCTGAATGAACTTTTCATAAATCAGACCTGATATCCAAGTTATATAAATTGCTATGTAATATACAAACAACATGACTGTAAACCATCTCATTCAAATTCAAAGCATACAGTCACTCCCAAAATTCATCACCAACAAAATAAAAGGACTACAACTCAGGCTTACAGGTTCTGGACAACAGGTGTTTTAAAAAAAGTTTAAGTACAAGTTTTACAACACTTGCAACACAATTTCGTCAAATAAGTGCAGAAGATTAGAGATGTTACTAAAGAGTAAAATACAAAAAAAAAAAAAGGAAGAGAGATAAGGATGATAGATATTTGATAGGAAAGAATGAGCAAACTACACCAGAGCATCCATCAAACCCCCACATAAAATGCGTCTGACAAAGCACACAGAAGAGACTCTGAATTTAGCAAAACCCCCAAACTATCACAAGGGCCGAGCAGTAACAGGTCAGAGACTGACCTGCATTACTGAACATCCTGTTCTTGACAATCACTTGGTAGGTGTTGATGGCCTCATGGTACATCTCATTGGCAACGTACTGGTTGGCCAAGTTAAATAATACCTGGGAACAGACGCAACGTCCATTATGTTCTGACGAGTCAAGTTAAACATCCTATGTGAATAGGTGCGATGATAGCTGCATAAGAGACCCCCCCCCCCCTCATCATCATAGCTACAAATAAATATCACATATCACCCCCCCCCCCCCCCCCCCATCATTTGGGAATAGGTGCAATGATTTTTTAACTCGAATCTCCTTTGAGATGATACGGTAAAGTATGAAATGGACCTAACATCCATTGAACACTGCAAGATGTGAGCAAAATTATGGAGCAGGACTTTCACATCTAACATTCATCTCAGAGAGGACCAACTAAGTGGCTGGAGAGATTTGAGGGAAAAAGTAAATCTAAGCTCTCTTTCCGGAACTTAATTGGTCTAGTGTCTCCATTCTACATGGGGTGACACTTGGGTCGAGGTGACATTGTGCACGAAGGAACCTTATACTTATTTCAAGAGCAGAAGGTAAAAATTTACTTTCACCAGCTTGAAAACTCCCAAAACAACCAATTTTCAGGAGTGTCCCTGAGGGAATTAGAACTAGAATCATGCATGTATTGTAATAATAATATCAATAATAATAATAGTTTGTCCATCATTCACAGATGATGACCTTTAATATCCAAAGAGGAAGAGAGGTTAAGGTAATAATAATAATAACAATAATAATAGTAATAATAATAATAATAATAATAATAATAATAATAATAATAATAATAATAATAACAGTTTATCTGTCAATGTCTGACGATGACCAATACATCCGTAGAAGAGAATATTTCTCCCTCAAAATGAAAGAATTAGAAGAATTAACGGTTAAAATGACTTGTGGCTTCTGCTGTGGCCGATGAGACCAATTATGGCAGAGAAAAATTTGCCACATTTTGAACAGTTGAAAAGCTCCACTTCCACTTGTGGAGGTGTGCAGCTTACGGGCTTCTCTCTTGGTTTCAGAATTTCTTATTCATGAAGCCTCATATGATTTGCTACTCATTGTGACTGCTGCTTTCCATAGTAATGAGTCAGTAATGACAGTAAAGTAAAGGAAATAATAACTTGTAGATCATGAGTGCTACGACTTGCTGCAGATAACATTGCCTTTCCCATTCCTAAAGTGGTGTGCTTGTCTGCATAAGCATATGGTTAATTGGTTCAACCTTCTTATGGCTTCCATTGGGACCTTCGAGTGCTATTCCTTTTGCCAAGGATAATTCACACTATATTATCACATCATATCAACTGAAGTAATTTCATGTTATTTTGAGTTGTTGGAAGACATTCTGAATTATCAAAGCGTTTTACAACACTTTTACACAGAAATAGGTTATAAAAGTGCCAAATATCTGATGTGTTACTAGAAAACAAAATACAAAAAAAATAAAGAGGAGAGAAAAGATAATAGATGTTTGACAGGACAAAATGGAGTAAACAATGCCAGAGCACCTGGCAACCACCTACTTACCGAGTAAGTGAGATCAAGGTTGATCTGATCTCCCATAGACAGTTGTTCTCTTTGCCTCACCAGGACCCTTTCTTTCCTGCCTGCCTCCTTAGCCTTGTCCAGAGCCTTTGTCAACAAAAAAACAAAAACAAAATTAATTTTAGCCCCTCTGTAGTTTCAGTAAGTTTTACAGCACTTGTAACACAATAAGGTCATATAAGTGCTGAAGATTAGAGGTGTTACAAGAGAGTAACAAACACAAAAAAAGAAGAAAAGAACAGGACGATTGATGCTTCGTAGGAAAGAAGGAGCAAACCACACCAGAGCACTCGCCAACCACCTACTTAGCCCCTCCCTCTCTGTTGTGTATCTACTGGTAACAAATAAAAATCAACCCATCTCTACTATAAGTCTGTTGGGGGAGCAGTACAATAAATCATTTATGAAGGAGAAAAACGGTTGCAGAAAACGCATCAGAACTATTTTAACGAAGAGAAGGTACATCATATTATGCTTTTACTTCTTAGATTTATTGTTGTGTGAAGAAATTAGAGAGACCCCACGACTTGTAGATGTCCTCCCTACCATTGTACCAAAGCAAAGAGTGTAGATGTTGAACTCCCCCATTGACACAATTTAAACTATTCAGGGGACCGTACCGGCTGTTGGGATACTATAAGCCTACAGGACAGGCATACTCGAGAAATTAACTTCCCTATATACACATCTATATAGGAAAATCTTTTACAAGTATGGCAAAAAGCTACATACGTCAGTCTATTTGAATGAAAATGAGGCAATTAACCCTCATCCTGCGGGAGCCGGGTATATGTAGCCCGATAAGCCTATTTCGGCACCTCGCCTGCGCTCTGGTCCCGAATCAGTGTAGCCCCTGGCTCAGCGCACGCGCATCCTCTTACGTGTCATTCGGGTCCCGAGTCGGATCCCCATTCACGCTGGTCAAGTGTGTGTGCGTCAGTCTGCTTGAGTTTGTGTGCATTTGTGGCCTTCTTCTAGAACCGCCTGCATCGGTTCGTAATCAAGGCATACCTCTCATTCAAAACATGCAAAGTTGCTAGCTCTAGATGTTCGTCCAATGAAATTATAGAAAAAATTGACCCACTTAGACATGAGGAGCTCGAAAGGATAGTCATGAAACAAGACTTCCATTTTTCTATACAAAATATTTCGAATGACCTTGCTTTTGTATGAAATGATACTACCTGATAAAAAAATAGTTTGTTTGATAGTTTTGAATACCATTGTGCAGGTACAAAGAACAATTTGAGTGTAAAACATTCGTAAATTGACCTAAATTATCCCCTTTCGAACCTCAGGTCATTCATAACAACAAGAGCGTCGAGATAGGTTATTCGAATGGGCGTAACTACTCGTAATGTCTTATCAGCTTGTGAGAGGGGGTTATCATGTGTTTGTAACACTTTATAAATAGAAAGCTATGAAAGATAGAGCATTATTTTCATAATCGGTTAACACACTCCCGCGGTATTCATGGCGAAAACACACGTTTCCCGGCGCGCGCGCTGTACACCAACAGTACACACTGAGTGACCCCGGCGGCCTGCCCGGCACGTCCGACATAATCGGTTGCTGATAACATACGCATCTGGGCACAGACGCAGGATAAGAGTTAAAGCATAATACAATGCAGTCATAGCCCACTCTTGCTTCGACAAAAATGTGATAAAATACAGTGGGAATCATGTTCAGAACTAGTTGGTTTCACAGCTTTGTTTGTGTGGGAGAAAGATTACAAAAGAAAGACTTTCCAGTGCACTACTTCACATTTCATGACCTATTGAAAGAATCAAAACATGGATAAAAAAAAACAACCTGATACTGTAGAGACTGGTAAATCTTAAAACAGCATGCATTTTACTTCACCCTTACACAATACGGCTATCTTTTTGGTAATGGTTCCATTCATATTAGCTCCAGCAGGTCATGAGCATTTGGTAATTTACGGACCCAATGGCCCTTATAATAAAGACCCCTGATATTAAGTTCTACCTTTGATAGGCTTTCGAGGCCTAGAGGTTAAGGTGTTTGCCTCTCAATCAATAGGTCCTGGATTGGAATCCAGGTAGCGACGAAAATATTTTTCCTCTAAAATTGTCTCCTGTCACCACCTCCTTTCCTGCTCTAGCAGTGTTCTATCGTCTACTTTCGTCTCCACTTTTTGCCCCCCCCCCCCCACCTCCTTTGCCCCAACCTCTGGGCTCCTGACTCTTTCTGCAGCCTTTTTACTGCTACTCCTTAGCTCCTTCTTACTGATGTCTTTCAGCCACATTCCTCGTCTTATGGTACGAAAGATCTACACCTAGCCTTCTCGGACAAGGGTGAAATATATGATCTAGGAGATCCTGCATGCTAGTTGCGAACATTAAAAATCCCTTGGTGGGCCAAAATTGATAAGAGTAGGCTTCACCCACCACCCGCGCAAAATTCAAAATTTTCTACCTACTGAAAATGTGTCTAGTGTGTTCATATCACCTTATGCAGTTGCGAGCGCCGTAACACATTTACTAAAACAATTATTTTAAAAAATGATAGGTTCAAACCAAGTGAGCAGGCAGACAACCTTGAAAATCCCCCCCAACAACACAAGTACAAGAAGAACCCATTAGGGATTTGAACCAAGGCGATCCACACCATAGCCCAACATGATACCAACCAAACTAATCGCATTCTTAGGTCATGAAGGATTTCAAGGCACTTACAAGTTGCAGTTCCCCACGGCTATTGGCAAGACAGCTCTCTTCTATTAACTCGTTGACTTTTTTCTCCAAATGTCGGATTTTCTCTTCCGGGCTGAAAAAAATAATTGAGCTTGAGTGAGCACAAGAAACATATTGACATAACAGCAATCACTTGCAAAAAATTGCAGTAATTTAGGGTGCAGCAACTGAAACACATACACAGTCAAAGAACAAAGTATGTAGTGAGAGAGAAAAAGCAACTTATTCAAATACTGCCATATGGTAACTGTCAGCAAACTATGTCCGACATATCTCACTCTTTTAGGTACACCCTAATCCAGAGGCTATCAGCACATGAAGACACTCGGTTGTTATTGAGACTGAAAAAGCCGAGAGACTATAAACAAGTTAAAGTTACATGTACAACTAAAAGCAGCGCGGCCTCCTCCAACCACCAGCGCGAAGAGAACATAATAAGAAGAATTCCTACTTGCTCAATCCATATCACTATACTTTCATGAAGCCGAGGACAGTTTCACCCTGCCAAGGACAACACTGGTCAAAGATGAAGGAACAAGAAATAAATTGCTATTTTAAACCTAGGCACATACGGTGGGGAGAATTAAAATCTTTTCCCCTTGAGCAAATATGAAAAAGACATATTGATTGAATGGCATTGCCTACACTGTGTCGAAAGATATGGATTGAGCAAGTAGGAATTCTTCTTATTCACTGTTATTAAAAATGGAGATAGGACAAGAAAGCACTGAGGTCGCTAGGTGCTGATGTTGGGGAGACAGCTGGGATTTTCCTACTAAATGGAATTGCAAACCAGCAGGAGGAACAACCTCTCTATACAGAGAAATAGTGAGCATGAACATCAAAACATTTTTGAGAAACATGCCAAGATGCAATGCATATTCATTCCACTCTGTCATTTTTTCTGCCAACTTGCTTCTTTTAAAATCTAGCCATAGGGCCTAAAAGCTTTTCAAATTTAGAAATATGTGTGCTTAAAAACCCCCACAAAACATCTCACCTGTCCTCTGCCTTTGCCTCTAGAGGAGGAGCTGGGCCTTTGCCTGCCTGGTTGAGAGGATCAAAGCCAGCTCCAGCTGTGAAAACCATCAATGAAAAACGTTAAGTCGGCATTAAAAAAAAACATGGACCCATTCAAACACTATCCAGTTCCTTTGAAGCGGAAACTGCAAAACGGAAAATTTATAATTTAATACAAGAATTTACTGTTATATCACAGCCATTCTGAAAACACACGTCTTTTAAAAAAATCTGCAGTCAGAAGGATTTATACATTAACTCATATATTATTAGCTCTTGAGAACCCAAGTAATGCATCATGGTAGACCCTACCTTTGAGATTGGTTTTTTTTTTAATAGTAGAGGGTTTTACGACGCTCGCAACTGCATACGGTCATATGAGCGCCAAGGGGTGGGTATCAACAGAGAATTCTTTACAGGGAATCAGACTTATTATGCTCACCTCTCTAGCTTCAACAGCACAAGGTCTGCTTCGACTATCAAGGCACCCCGGAAATAGCAGGTCACAAGAGAGTGACAAACATGTAAAAGAAGTAGAGGAAAAATGACAATAGTAAGGATTAGGAAAGAAAAAGCAGCAGTTCCCGGTTGTAGATCAGGCACAGTTATGAGCGTGACACGAAGCAGCCCATTTACAATTCTACTGTGCTTCAACGACAAATGTCTCCCCTTTGGGAATGGCCTAAGATACTAGAGTCAGTGGCACTACCCCGGGGGGCTGAGATTGGTGCCATGATTATGATTCTAGTAAGTACCAAAACCCACCATACTGACAAGCTTATTTCTCTGTTGATCAAAGTTGGTAAGTTATTTACTTTCCTAAACTATTCATATAAATAATTAGCTTCTGTTTTCAAGCTATTTCGTCAAATTCAGTTCATGGATGTTGCTTCTTTATAACAACTAGCCTAGTGGCATAGGCCTGGTTACAGTGACATAAGTACTACAACTGCAGTTTAAAAATCTTGACTCACAGCTCTAATATTTAAGACAGCCAATCTAAAAAAATATGTTTCAATCAAAATAAAATCCAACTTGTACGGGATAGAACGCTATATAAATGCAATCTAATATATATTATTATTATTATTAACTTACTCAAAGGAAAAAAAAGTTTTGGAATATCTGTGCATACCTCTGTTTCCAGCTGATGTGAAGCCAGCGGCTCTTACTGCTGTCATGGGCCGAGCCTGTCCATCTTGCACGGCCATCCCACTACCTGGCCGACCCATGGAGGAGGGCATGGCCAAACGGCCCCTTGCTGCGGTGGCTAGGCGGCCTTGTGCTCCTGGAGCTCCCATGCTAAGCTTGGCCTGAGTCTGCAGATTAAAATAGTAATCTCACATACATTTGTTCATCTTTTACTTGCATTAAAATCTATATCCACTCTTACTCTTTAAAATTTTCAGTTTCTTTTAAAGCCTTGCAACATAAATAGTTTATATAAGTGTTTAAGTGTTAAAGATAAGAGGTGTTACTAGAGAGTAACATACAAAAAAATGAAAGAGAGATAAGGACGAAAGATGTTTCAAAGGAAAGAAGGAGCAAACCATACTAGGACACCCACCAACCACCCATTTATATACACTTAAAATACTGGTTAACAACCATGTAGACTACTATGCCTCCATCATCAGCGTCAAACTGAATTTATATAATATTTTTCAAATCTCTTTCAAATGCCGTAAAATGTCGGTCAAAAAAATATTCTTCAGACAGGTTTCCTCAGAGATCCTGACATAAGAGCACATGTTAAGGGGCCAACAAATTGCATGACTATTAGAATGATCATAACAGAGAGCACAATGTTAGATATTCAAGATATTCTGAGAGTTCAAGGAAAACATACCGGAGGACGACGGCCATGACTTGTTCTCAGCACAGCCTTCTGGAAACTCTCATCATGAGCTAAATCCTGAAGAGACATCAAAGGATATCAATACTCAAGAGTTCTTCACTCATTCCGCTCTCCTGAGACATTTAAAAAAAAGGCTCTTGAAAATTTAAAGAAGTATTCAATATATACTGTGACTAAAACTGATCTCACGGTTAATTACACAATCTCTTTCTTAACCCTACGACTCCACTCTTCTGTCCATCGAATGCATTTTCAGTGAGCGGTGGTACAAATCTAGTCTCCAAATCAAGGAATCTCAGCTTAGGGAGTCCGGTGGGTTCAGGGAACCAAACTTCAAGGGTTAAACATCATAATACACATGAACTATTAAGGAGATCTCATGAACTTATTTTTACATGGCAGTTTGTTTCATGATAAGCATGACTGTTTTCCTGCCAAGCTCATAGGTGTTCAGATCTTCATCTCAGAAACAACTGTTTCAATAAGTCAATGCTAACAGATCCAGTGTGAATCAATTTCTAGCAAACTATTCTTATGCTTTTGCTACAAAAATCAATACCGATTTTTGCATTAACACTTTTCTTCAATTTTTAAAGAAAATATAACTATCATTACAACCCAAGAAACATCACAACCTTTTTCACTTTTTGTTTCCAAAAGTTTAAATTTTGAGCAACACAAAGCATGTTTATAACAATAAAATATTAATAATACATACATCTGTGTCAAGAGTTGCATTGTAATCATTGAAGCCGGAATAGTCATCTTCCTCTTCTCCTGCTAAGTGTAGGTGCTCCATCACGTTGGTACGATTCGTGCACTCCACCAACCAACGTAGATGAGATGCTGTTTTTGGTTGAAAAAGAAAATAGCATTATTCAGAGTTATCATTTCACAGGAGTACTGCTCAAAGTGTATGAGGGATTTGGAAAAACTGGGCTTGCATCCCCCCAAAAAAACTCATTCTTCTGACACTGATTAGACCCCTATTTCTATTTTGTAGAATGTTTATTATTAATGTATTTACTTAGTGTGTTTTTTTTCTGTTTACAGACTTTAATCTCTAATCAGCGATAATATTTTAACCTCTTATTTACAGACATTCAATTCCTCACTTGATCTAGATATCTATGTTAAAGTGTTAAATTTTTAGAAGGGAAAGTTTTAAATTCCATGAAATGAGTTACGGTGAAAAACAAGTTACACTTACAGTGCTGTCTACTTAACAGCAGACCCCTTGGGAAGAAAGCCTTTAATTGTTGCTAGCATGCTTTTAGGCAGACATTGCTGTTAACTGAATCTTCCAAGGACGGAACCCAAGGGGGAATAATCTGTAGCCACCAACACCCCTCACAAACGCGTGAGTCCTCATCACATGATGTAATGATGTTATTTTGTCAGAAAGTGAGAACATACGCTGTATCAGTGAGCTAATGCTTGATAGCTGTGCAGTAATTTACACACAATGGCCAGGACTTTTCCTACTCTGAAAGAGACTTTGAAGGAAAGTGGCTCTTGGTGACAAGGTGGGAACTGAGCTACTATAACTCAGCATAGTATATTATTTCTTTTTGCTCCAGCAGGTGTTGTGAGAGGATAACTACTAGAGAGAGGAGGGATGCATGCACAATGAAATTATGGGTCAGTCTCATTGTTCACACTGTCTTTGAAAATGAACCATCAACATTTTTCTTGTCAATTTATTTCAATAAAGTTGCTGGTTAGAGGAAAAGTTTGCTGTTAAAGGGGTTAATTTATACACAAATATTATGTTACATACACAGGGTATGACGTTTTACAGAAAACCCCCTCCCTCCCCCCCCTCCCGGAAAATGCCCATCTACTATCTTGAATAGAAATCGATATATTTGCGATTGAAGGAGGTAGGGGTAACCTGGATTTTTTTGGGTAGAATTTAGCGAGAAAATGGATGCCAAAGTTTGGTAACAAAAACAAAAGAGAGTCTTTCAAAACTGAAAATTTACAAATTTTGTGCCATTAATCAGCGTTTTTCCGTAAAATTCACATGGAAATGTATTTATATATATATATGGACATAAAAGATGTTGAGCCAAAAACCAAAAATTCAACAAAAATTGCCACACTGAAGGAAAAATGCCCGTTTCTCCGATTTCACCATGCTGCGCGAATTGCTTCCACAGTTTCTGTTACAAATTGCACAGAGATAAGACATTGCAACAATGAGAACTGATTGAGAAAAGCAGCCAGCCCAACAAGGACCTCTTGACTTCTAGCCAGTTATACTATTGCCTCGCAACTGAGCCCTGAACCTGAATTCACAAGTGACAAGTTAGTAGGATATGCATGCACAGGTGATTTGTTTTCAGTATTTTCGAGGGTTTTCGGTATTTTCTGGAGTTTTCTGTAAAATGTCAAACCATACATACATGTATACACACACAAGCCTTGATAGTTGGTATTAGGTAGAAAGGTATGTAGGTGTTTAAATCGGGTTTGCTTGCAGATATAGAATAATTTTATGAATCTTAATCTCATATTATGAAATGCTATCACAAGTCTCTAAGAAATTCTCCCAAATATATTCAGCACATAGATCTAGTTACATTCATTAAAAATTCATCACCACCAAGAAAGAATAGAGAGTGGCAGTGATGAGTGGAGAGCAACCCATATATCACGACAGTAATAGAATTAAGTATTCAGTATCAGTATCTATATATCATATTTATGAAAGTTTGTCACTTTTTTGGTTTCCTAAAACTTCCGAACCACTTAACTTTCGAATTTGAAAAAATTAACGGTGGTTCATCAAAATCATTTAAAGGGTGCACAGTTACATGAAGGATTCTGAAGTCACTGTCGTTTAATTTTCAGTGTTTCATTAGTCTCGTTTAGATGTAGTCTTGTGAAAGTCCGTCTTCTAAGACGCCATAGTAATCAAGTGAGGCTTCCCTTCACATGCAGCAGTGCGCACTGGAACGAAAATGACATGACGATCGATTCTTTTGAGTCCGTTCATCGAACGGGGTACCCAGCTAGTCAGGCCCTAGAACTTCCAATCCACTCAACTTTCGAATTTGAAAAAATTAACGGTGGTTCAGACTTCAGAATCATTTTTTAATAAAGGGTGCACAGTTAATAGTTATATTAAGTATTAGGAGTCTGAAGTCACTGTTGTTTAATTTTCAGTGTGTCATTAGTTTTGTAACTGTCAGTGCACGTCAATATTTCAGTTCACCAACTCAAGTTCAGGTAAAGTTTGTTGTCTGTAGTCACTGTGTGTTACTAAACTAACTCAACTAACTGTTCACTTCACTCAGGCAGGTCAGTCAGCAGGGTAGACATTATCGTTCATCGTCATTGTAGCTGACAATGGTGTAGATTCTAGACATATTTACAACCTATGAATAAAAGAAGAGTAAAACAATTCTTTACTGACTTTATGATCTTCGTCTTAACTCAATACATAAAAAGAGGATCGAGATGAAATACCTCCAAACGCAACAACCTTGCCGGGCAGCAATACAATAACACTCGGTTCGAGAGCCGAACTTATCAAAGAATGCTGCTACTTCCGCTATGAACACGCATGCGCTTTATACGTTGCTATGCGTTCTTCAATAAATAAAGTCCTCTCTAAGTATGCGGCTCTCTACTTTGGGTGATACTTTTTAGTTCATGGCAGTCGTCGGCCAGCTGTTCATGTGTTGCCTTCGGCCGAAATTTGATTTACGATCCCCCCGCCCCCCCCCCCCCCCCCCAGTAAATCTCGCTTTGGCTGCTCGACATATTTTGTTGAAATTCAAATTTTGAATGTTCAGAAAGCATGGAAATATCCACAATTTATGTACAATGTTCTAAAAGCCGCTGGAGGACCCTCAATAATTAAACAGTAGACAAATAAAAAAACACGACTTTGTAGTAAGACTTATACAATTTCATTGTATGCGCCGTGTTACTGCCATTTGAAGTTTCATCTTAAGAAGACAGAATTGAAAAATATGTAGAAATCATGAAATAACGAAGTCGGGTTTCTTTGCGTCGCTAAAGCGCGCGTCTTCAAGTTTTGTCAAATGACCATCATGCGCAACTGCAATGAGTAAGACTTCTAGTACAAAAATAAACAAATATATTTTTAAAAATTCAGTTTTGCTTCTCTCCTGAAAAGTTGAAAAGCAAAATAATATATTGCAGTAATATCACCTTTAATAGATCATTGAAGTTAATATACTTCATCGGCCCGGGTTTGAAAGCTACCACTTATTCAATTGGTATGATCGAACGGAGTACATGCAGTATGTCATAGACTAATTAATTATGTATGTCGACAAAACAGATGTCGTTGTTGATTATGTGTCAGCAAGATGAGAAGGCCTTGGCTATGCATGCATTAAATTTTCAATTCTAAAGTTTTCTTGTGTTGTGTTTTCCCAGATACGAAGGCTGCGCCCGCACGCACGCGCGCGCGTGTGCGTGCGTGCGTGTGTGTGTGCGTGTGCGTGTGCGTGTGCGTGTGCATGTGCGTGTGTGTATGTGTATGTTGTGTGAGTATGTGTGTGTGTTTTTTTTTCTTTGCTTTGTATCTCTCTCTCTCTCTCTCTCTCTCTCTCTCTCTCTCTCTCTCTCTCTCTGTGTGTGTGTGTGTTGAAAATGGTATAATATTTTCCGTCTTTTGATTTGCCAAATCCATTCTACCAATACAAGCTCAAATAACTCACTTGAACGGGTCTTTTTTTATTTCACAGACTTTTGCCTAACATTGTTTTTTTTAGGTCAGTTTTGAGTGACCATACCTTGGGCGACCGACTCTTATCGCAGTTGGAAAATTAATGCGTCAAATGATGCATAATTTATTTAGCTTTGAATAGGTATGCTGTATGAATGGATAGTACAGTGCCTTAACACGATGATTGGATGAATACATTTTAAAGGTTTTTTTTGGACGGCGCTGTATAAATTCACACTATCCTTCCTTCTTTCCTTCCTTCCTTCCTTCCTTCCTTCCTTCCTTCCTTCCTTCCTTCCTTCCTTC